AAGAAAGAAAGAAAGAAAGAAAGAAAGAAAGAAAGAAAGAAAGAAAGCTTCAAGTTGGGAGAGTAGGGAGGTGAGAGTGGATCTGGGGTGAGGAATGAATATGATCAAACTACATTGGATAAAATTCTCAGTGGCTTAGTAAAGTATTATTAGTAAAGAAAAAGACCAAGCTGCAAGTCTCCTACATACGTGAGGGGTCTAGGCCCAGCCCATGCCTGCTCTTCGGTTGGTGGTTCAGTCTCTGTGAGACCCCCATGGGCCCAGGTTAGTTTACTCTAAGTTTTCTCGTGGTGTCCTAGACCCCTCTACCTCCCTCTGTCCTCCCCTCACTCTTCCACAAAACTCTCTGAGCTCAGCCTACTGTTTGGCTGTGGGTCTGTGGAACTCTGCATCTGTTTCCATCAGCTGCTAGATGAGGCTCTCAGAAGACAGTCATGCTAGGCTCCTGTCTGCAAGCACAGCAGAGTATCATTAATAGTGTCCGGGGTTGGCTCTCTCCCATGGGGTGGCTCTCAGGTTGGGCCAGTCACTGGTTTGCCGTTCCCTCAGTCTCTGCTCCATCTTTATCCCTGTGACATCTTGGAGGCAGGACAAATTTTGGGCTGAAGGTTTTATAGGTGGGTTGTTCCCTCCCTCCACTGGGAGCCCCTCCTGGCTACAGGAGGTGGTGACTTCAGGCTTCATATCACTCCCTGCTAGGAATCTCAGCTAGTGTCACCCCCACAGACTCCCAGGAACCTCCGTCTCTGTCCCAGAATGCTCCCCAACCAATTTCCGTTTTCTTTCTCAGTCCCCAGCTCTCCCTACATCTAAGCTCCACCCCCATTCCTCTCCCACCCAGTTCTCTCTCTCCATCCACTTCTGATGTCCATTTCATGTTTCCTTCTAAGTGAGATTCAAGCATCCTCCCTTGGGCCCTCTGTGTTACTTACGTTCTTTGGGTCTGTGGACTGTAGCACGGTTATCCTGTACTTCGTGGCTAATATCCATTTATAAGGGAGTACACACCGTGTGTGTCTTTCTGGGTCTGGGTTACCTCACTCAGGATGATCTTTTCTAGTTCCATCCATTTGCCTGCAAATTGCATGATGTCCCTGTTTTTAATAACAGAGCGGTATTCCATTGCATAAATGTACCACATTTTCTTTATCCATTCTTTGGTCGAGGGGCATCTAGGTTGTTCCCAGTTTCTGGCTAATACGAATAAAGCTGCTATGAACATAGTTGAGCAAGTGTCCTTGTGGTATGGTGGAGCATCGTTTGGGTATATTCCCAGGAGTGGAATAGCTGGGTCTTGAGGTAGAACTATTCCCAATTTTGTGAGAAAACTGCCAGATTGATTTCCAAAGTGGTTGAACAAGTTTGCACATCCCCTAACAATTGGAGCGGGGGTGGGGTGGACGCGGAGGGTTGCCTCTGACTCTGATGCCTGCCTTTGGATGTCTCCTCCAGCTGGGCTGCCTTGTCTGGCTTCAGGGCGAGAAGATGTGCTTAGTCCTGCTGTGACTTGGGCTAGGGCTAGTTGGTATCCATGGGGGCTTCCCCTTTTTGGGAGGGGAAAATGGGGAAAGGAGTTTGCAGGTGGGACTGGAAGGAGAGGGGGGAGGAGGCTGTGATTAGGACGTAAAGTGAATGAATAAGTAAATTAATGGAATAAAATAAAAAATCCATATGAAGAGCTCTTCTTAATGTCTGTGAAAGACACTTGCCTTCTAATATCAAGGAAGAGGATGATGGCTACCGAAGGTCCTGGGGTTAACCCCCAGCACTCACACCCGCGCACAGCCATCCGGAACTCCAGAGCCAGGGAAGCTGATAACCCTTTTCTGACCTCTACAGGCATCAGACACTCATGTGGTACACATCCATCTATCCAGGCAAAAATACACATAAAACAGCCAAATTTATTGGAGTTGAAGAGTGCATATATGGGAAGTGAGCTTTCAGTCTAGGATGGCTGAGGAGGTCACTGCATAATTACTGCACCAAATGGCTATCCCAAGGAAGTCAGAACAGAAGAGGAGGCCGGCTTCACATTCAGTCCTCAAGAATCCCCTTCCCAAGGGATGGACATCATGTAAGGAGAGTGAAATGTGGCTTGGCAGTGCCTTGGCTAAAAACCAAAAGACAAAAATCCCTCCATAGCTCTCATGTCATAGCAGCTGAAATAACTAAGATAAAGGCCAAACCCAGAAAGAGGCATTTCTCCTAAAGGCTCTAATCTAAGACAGTGGTTCTCACACACAGTGTCCTGCCTGCCTGATTCGCTTCACCAGACTTCACTTTCACCAGCACTCTCCAGTTTGTAGTGCGTGGGAAGTCCTCCATGCCCGTCCTTCTAGGCTAGGCTTTGGACATCATTCTTCTAGGCTAGGCTTTGGACATCATTCATCACCTTCTAGCTTACCCGGCTTATCTATATCAGTTTGTTTCTCCAATGAAATATTCACATTCCTCTTAACAATTCCTCTGAATCGGAACAACTTCAGACAAAACGAAACAAAAACAGCACAACAAACAAGCAAAAACCTTTGAGCTATAGCTTGCTGGGTTCTTTCTAGTCCCACTGCTTCCCCAGGCTTCCAGCTCAGGCTCCGGTAGAACAGGACCAAATGTGATGTCCTCAACATAGCTACCTTGTTGTAGCTATACAATCCTTCCTTCTCTATGGAAGTCAGTACATTTAAGTCTTTCTTTTGCATAAAGGGGCAGGGGTCACATAGGCAGACCAGGATTGTGGCCTCTTGATGAGCTGACTGGATTTTTTTTCTTTAGATAAACTCACATAGCAAAACCTAGTGTTGTGTTGCTTTTCTGTCTCCAATAGCTCTTTCCCTGATGTCATTTCCCAGCATTTCTTTCTTTCCCAGCCTTGCCACTTTCTGCCCTAACTCACTGTTAGGATGACTCAGCACCCAGCTGATCTTTCTCTTGCATGTTTATGGTGCTTTATTTCTTTGTGACTTTGAAGTAAATTCCTGTACTATTATTTAGTGTTCCTGGTTTATCAAAGTTTCTGAATTGAATCTGCTCTCTTATTTCCCTAGCAACTAGTCATGAGTAGACTTGAGTCTGGAGAAGTCCTTTTCCAGTGTTGAGTTCATCCATGTGGGTGTTAAAAAACAGTTTCTGCCTTCTTTCCTTCCTCCTAAGGCCCCGGTTCAAATCTGAACTATGCTTTCAAAGGGCATTAGCTCAGCCTCTGGATTTGTTGTGTGCTCCCATGATTTATTACACATTCATATTTCTTTTTCCAATATTGATTTCCCTTTCCAGGACACTGGATGTGAAACATTCATCCTGATTACTCCCAATCAGAAATAGGGGAAGACTCAGAAAGCCCTAACTTGCCACATTCCTGAAAATGGCTAGATTGCACAATCTGGGAAAAGCAGATCTGCTGCAGAAAAAAAAAAAAAGTCTTTAGGTTCTGAAAGATAAGCTATGGCCAAGTGGGATTATGCAAGCCCCAACAGGGTGCTGCTCCACTAGCCTAAGGACAGTATATATAGACAGCCCCAGTTTCGTCTCCTCAGCAAGTGACACACGCCACTCAGCTTCACCTCGGGGGCCCAGGAGGGACCGACAGCCCAAGGTGAGTCGCCAGAGCCTTCCAGCATTTGCTTTTCGCAGATTCTCTTTCCTGCCTGCGTTTGCGTATGGAGTGTTAGCGCTATCTCTTTCCTGAGCGCACCAGATGGTTAAAATTCACTGAAGGCGGTGCGCTACAGCATGGAGCTTTGTTGTATGCTTCTGCGTGACTTCAGGGAAGGGGAATCTTTCACAGGTTTGCTGTGGAGAGCTGTATTGGCTAAGAAGCCCCCGCACGCCTCCCTGGAAACTTCCCACGCAGCTGGGCTTCCAGCTAGTATGACTGAAATTCAACGTGCTTTTTGCCAACGACCCGTTTGCAAACTTTCAGAGAGTGGGATGCTAATGAAATATGTAGAAATGGGGAGCCAGATCGCTCCCTGGAAGCCTCATACCTGGCATATATGCCTACATATGTGTGGGCTTCTGTATAAAATCCAGTAGGCTTCGTTACCGGTTCACTAGGAGGGCTCAGCATTGCAGAAGCACCGTCCACACCCAGGAACCGCACGTCCATCTTTGTGTTTTGTCCACACCCAGGAACCGCACATCCATCTTTCTGTTTTCCTGGTCCTACAGCAGGATGAAGCCTTCTATTGCCATCATTTTTTGCTTCTTGATCCTGGGAGTGGACAGCCAAAGATGGTTCCAGTTCATGAAAGAAGCTGGTCAAGGTAGGATCAAAGGATGGAGCCAGGAGGTTGTATTTGTGAGTTCCAAGTATTCCCCTGAGCAGGGACCACATAGCCAATGGCAAACGCGCTTGTGAAATCCCTACGGATGGAGAAGCCGTGTGGCCCTTCGTAAGTAGTTCTTGGCTTTTCCGGTCAGTGTTGGCCTTTTCCATGACGCTCCCAAGCCCGGGATCATATACCGTTTGTACAGCAGGAACGTTAGAGTAATCTGTGGGTGAAAGAGAGAGACTCGCCAACAGAAGTGGGGCTCTATTGCCCCCTTGTGGAAGATGAGAGACAGCTCCCTTCCGTGTCCGCTAGTGTGAAATGCAGTGTTCCAGGGGAGGTGCAGGAGAACCGGCACAGCCTCAGAGACAACAACCAAGGCTAACCGATGTCACACATGGTAGACATTGTCCCAGGAGCATTCTGTGTGGGAATAAATTAGGTTTTTCATTAACCTTGTGGCGTAGGTGCCACTACGACCCTTTAAGAAAACCGAGGCACAAAGACCATTCGTGAACTATCTTATAAGACCCGTGGAAGAGCCCATCTAGCCCAGGCTGGCTAGCTCCTCAGAATCCACCCCACAGCTCCCAGAACACGAGAGAGGACTTCACGAGCACACACTCGCTGAGAACAGGCGGGTCCACCACCAACGGAAGACAAACCTTATTCACCTGGAACATAGGTCTGCTGGGGCTGAGACATGGACAAGAAACGGTCAGCCCACCCGCCATAGCATGAGAAAAGTTAAACAAACCTAGATGTTAAGCTTTCCCTTTTTTCTTAACTTACTTTTGAAGCTATTTCCCATTTAGTGTCAGCTGGAGCTGATCCCTTCAGCTCCACTCAGTCCTTAGCCCACACCCTTCCCTGTTTGTGGCACCTTCCTAGGGAGCAGAGAGGAGACGATAATGAATTGAGCATCTTCCATGAACAGAACACATACATTTTCTGTTCTTCTGCATGACCACCAAAGTGGATAATGCCCTTGCCTGGTCCTGGAGCGGTACCAGGCACCCCCAGTGCCTTCCCGGGTCCTGGAGAAGATGCAGAAGAGCCAAACCGAACGTGTCAGTTGCCATCTAGCATCTCCAATCATCCAGCTTAGGTCCATCTACATCAGAGAGGTCACCCTTGTCGCCTGCTGATGGGGTGCTGAGGACCGCTCGGGATGAAATAGATCCTGGACTTCCAGGTGGACTCAGAACAGAACTGCACTCACTCCGTCTGGGAACAGCTCTTCCATTGCCTGTGCTAGGGGAGAACTGGGACTGCAGTGACAAACGTAGTGGTGGGAGGCTGAGGGAGAGGGACTGTGAGTTTCAGGCCAGCCAGGGGTGCACAGAGATGCCAGCTGCCCTAAAGGAAAGGAGGACATATGAGAAGGGGAATGGATGGAAGAGAGGGGAGAGGAGGAAGGGAGGGAGAGGAGGAAGGGAGGGAGAGGAGGAAGGGAGGGGAGAGGAGGAAGGGAGGGGACCCCATGCTCTCACACCACAGAGGTTTCCCTGAACCATCTCAGAGACAGTGTAGCATGATGACCAGCATCCCCTAGAGACCACCCTCCTCTTCTCTACCTGCTCTTTTGAATAGCCAATGACAAATGGCAACAGAGCTAAGATGGGAGTACATCACAATAAAACTTGCTCCAAAGGTACTTCTCCCTGCACAGACATGGGGCGGGGAGAGCTATTCATTTCAGGCCATCAACACTCCTGAGGGTTTTATGAAAGGGATGCATTTTAAACCTAAAACTGAAGTTTTAGCCCTCTGTTTTACCTAAGCAGTCATCCTCATCATTCTCTTCCTTCCCTCTCCAGGGGCTGGAGACATGTGGAGAGCCTACTCCGACATGAAAGAGGCCAACTGGAAAAACTCAGACAAATACTTCCACGCTCGAGGGAACTATGATGCTGCCCAAAGGGGGCCAGGGGGAGTCTGGGCCGCCAGAGTCATCAGGTACCACAGGTCGGGGTGGGCAGTCAGGAGGGGCTCTCTTCTGCATCCTGTGCATGCCCTTCCCTCCTCTGCATTATCCACAACCGTCCTCTTTTCCATGCACAGTCCTGGGGGTGGCTGGTGGTAATGAGTGATTCCACCCTCTGTCCCCTGGTGCTGCTCATCCGGTGTGAAGGTGACAGCCTGGGCTGAAAGCGGGTTTACTCGAGCAGGCTCGGTAGCAGCCTTTCCCTCTCTGGCGTCCCTGGGCTTTTCTTACAGCCATCCCTTGAAGAGGGGATTCCTGAGGGTCGGTCTATTGGCCATAAGCTTGGTTATAAATTTCTCGTTGTCTGTCCTGATTACAGTAATGCCAGAGAGGGTATTCAGAGGTTCACAGGACATGGAGCAGAGGACACAAGAGCTGACCAGTTTGCCAATGAGTGGGGCCGGAGTGGCAAAGACCCCAACTATTTTCGACCTGCTGGCCTCCCTAATAAATACTGAGCTTTCTCTTCATGTTGTTCCCAGCCATACAGCTCCCAAGAAAAGGGCAACTACTGTTGAATTATTTTCTAAAACATGGATCCCTAGACACCCCAAAATGCTGAATAAATACTAGTGAATACAGCTTGTCACTGTCATTTGGAAAGGGCGGTCAAACTGAGGATTGTGGGCTGTGTGAATGAACAAGGAACACCTCTGGTTGTTTTCTTTTTTTTTTTTTTTTTTTTCTTTTTTCTTTTTTTAAAGAAGGAGACATAAAAAAATAGAAATTGGAACAAAACACATACAGATAACAAGAAAGCTCAGTGTATGATTTCAGTCATGAAGTTAAAAACTAGATAAAAGTCAACACATTCTGGGATATAGCCCAATAACAGAGTGACTGCCTAGCATAGGTGAGGCTCCAGCTTCCATTTCCCTGTGCCCTCCCCATGAAAAATCAGTAAGCTTTACTTAGCACAATATGATTTGCAAAGGCAGAAGATGAAATTAAAACCAGACTGTGATTGTTTTAAAAGAGTGACACTTCCCACAAAGAAAGCCTCAGATCTAGATGCTGCCAGCCAATTCCAACCCTTCAAAAGGGCCAGTTACTCCCATTGTGTAAAAATAATTCTAGAAAGAAGAAGATATATGCTGCAACTACTTTCTCTGGGGTAGAAAACTTTGACACCAAGCCGGTGATGGTGGTACATGCCTTTAAGGCAGAGGCAGGCAGATATCTGAGTTCCAGGCCAGCCTGGTCAACAGAGGGAGTTTCAGGACAGACAGAGCTACACAGAGAAACCCTGTCTCAAATAACCAAACCTAACTAGCTAACTAACTAACCTTTGACATCCCCCTCCCTGAAACCTGAAATGATAAACAGCAAAGCACCCTGACTCCTGATAGACAGCAGTGACCAGCTCCAGGGTCGAGGAATAGCCTGGGGTTGCTCCCTTAACACAACCCCTGAAGACTCACAAATCTTGGAAGTTGGGGTTCAGATATCCCATGCAGTTTCTTTATCTTCCCTGGGTTGCACTTCCCCTCCCTCCTCTCCTTCCAGTCTATCCCTCTCATCTTTCTCCTCCATCCTCCCTTTCTCCCCAGAAAAAGGGAGGCCTCCCATGGATATCAAACCACCTTGGCATAGGGACTAGGCACATGTTTTCCTATTGTGGCTAGACAAGGCAGCCCAGTCAGGAGAAAGGGATCCAAAGGCAGGCGACAGAGCCAGAGACAGCCCCTGCTCCTGCTGTTAGATGTCCTACGTGAGAATCAAGGTGCTCAACTGTCACATATGTGTAGAGGGCCTCGGTCCATGCCATGCTTCCTGTCGGTTTAGGCCCAGCCTTCTTAATGATTTCCTATAACTAGCAATTGCTTTCATAGGCTGCCAATGGAGCTCAGCTGGTGAGTCCTTGCTCCTAAGTTCAATCACTAGCAACAAAACAACAAAGAACATACACACACACATATTCACACATGCACCTGCATACACATATGTTTGCATATAATTAGTCCAGTTAATTATTTCTCTAAGAGATGTACTCATGCATCATCCCAACTGGCCTTCAGCATGAACTGCATGAAGCCCACGACAAAGATCTATGGTGCAACACAGGGCTGAAGAAGAGGAGTGGATCACATCGCTGTGAGGGGACTGTAAATACGTCTCCAGGGATGGAGTGAGGGGGCATATGAAAAATCCACAACAGAGAGAGAGAGAGAGAGAGAGAGAGAGAGAGAAAGAGAGAGAGAGAGAGTTATAGTCCAAGAATAGCCTCACAAACCATTCAGACAAGGATCTTAGATATTGATAGTTTATTGGATGTACCCCTCCGAGATTGACCATGATCAGGGACACAGAGGACCCGGGATCCAAAATGTGATGCTGAATGAGCAACGACTGCTCTTCAGAGGACCTGGGTTCAATTCCCAGCACCCACGTGGCAGCTCACAACTGTCTGTAGCTTCTGCTCCAGGAGATCCAAAGCTCTCACACAGACATGCAGCCCAAACACCCAGGTACATAACGTAAAAATAAATTAATTAAAATTCTATATTAATTTAAATTTACATTTCCATGAAATTTGCTTATCTTTGTGGCTGGGGACTGGACCTAGGTCCTCAGGCATACTAGGCACATGCCATCCATCCACTGAGCCCTCTCCCCAGAACTTCCTGCATTTTAGATGAATCGGACGTGGGGGATCGTCTTATAGTCTCTTCAGTTTTGTTTCCTCTTTTGTGAATTGTCCGTTTCTATGCTTTGTCTTCTTAATGAGTTGTCTCTTTTTTAATTATTTATTTGTTATTTATAAGATTTTGTTGTTCTCGATATTGAGCCTATGTTTGTTATGGAGTTGAAAGCCAGGAGCTAACACTGAGATGTTGCAAAGTAAAAATTTCATTCACCTCCAGGCCAGACTTACAGTCTCTGTCTGTTTGGACAGACTGAAAGCAGCCAAGATATCCAGATGCACAGACGATTTGTAGGGAAGACAGAGATGTCGGGTTCAACAACAGGATAGCCAGTCACAACAGATGACACACTCACAAGAACCGTAAAAGCGGAACTGCATGCTTCAGAAGAGTTTAACCAAGGGTAGGCCAACTGAAACAGGCAGCATGTTCCCAGTCTTAAGATTAGGGCACATCTGGTGTCGTTTGTTAACATCTTTGTGACAGGGTTCATAACCCCATGCTTTACAACCCCCAGGTTACAAGTTCCAAGGTTGCGACCCCTGAGGCTGCAAGCCCTTGTTTGACTTAGGCAGATTTAACTAATCACAGCTCAGTATCCTTTAGCCAACACGGGTGTTAGGCTGGGTTCAGGTGAGGAGTTAAACTCTCTCAGTGCTATTTATAGATTAAAATAGTCTTCCTAACCTGAAGACACACGTATCGACATTAGATGGGCTGGTTATGAAGTGATAGTCCCCTGCCTCAGGCTCTCAGGTGCTGAGTTCACAGGTCTGAGCTACCATGTCCAGATAGATTTTTACGAAAACTATCTTCTCTAGAATGATAGTGAGAAATGTAGTAATTAAAAACTTATATTAAGGCCAGGTGGTGGTAGCAGGCACTTAAAAATCCCAGCACCAGGGAGGCAGAGGCAGAGCCAGGGAGATCCCCGTGGCGGAAGCAGGCAGAGCTCTGAGCTTGAGGCCAGGCGAGTCTATAGAGCAAGTTCCAAAACAACCAGGGCTACACAGAAAAACAAAAACAAACGCCGGAGTGTGTGTGCGTGTGTGTTTGCTGGATAAGACCAGCAAAAGCTATTAATGGCGGGGACGTCTCTGTCGTCTGAGAAATGCGGCAGTTCCTCACATCAGGCTTGTGTGTATTTTAAGAAAACCCTCCCTATTTCTCAAGTCACAAAAGATCTTTTAAAGTTTCTTCTAGATCTAGAACCCTTAAAAGTTTCGTTTTATATATTCTGCTCTTCACCCAGATTCAGCTTGTGTTAAAGTCCCACATCCAAGCGCCACCGTCCTCCTCTTCCTCCTCCTCCCGGGCTAAGAATCATTTCCTCTCGCTCTTCCCGCTCCCGTTCCAGACGAAGGACAGGTGATACCGACGTGCTTTTTGCGCCACACCGGGTCCCGCGTGGGCGCGAGAGGGAGCACCCACCGCTCCCGCGGGCCGCTCGGGAGCCGGACGGCAGGGGGCGCTGTGGGGAGCGCGGGCGCGTCGGGCTCTCTGGCGCGGCCTCTCGCCTCCTCCGCGGCTTCCGGCGCGGTTCGCGAGCGCCGGCATGGACCGCAACCCGTCGCCGCCGCCGCCCGGCTGTGATCGCGAGGCCGGGGAGGACCTGGCCGGGGGCGACTGCATCGGGAGCACGGTCTACAGCAAGCACTGGCTCTTCGGCGTCCTCGGCGGGCTCATCCAGGTGCGGACGAGGGGAGTCGGTGGGTGGCTGGAGGTTCGCGGGTGCCGACTTCCAGCTCCCCGGAACTCCACCACGCACTTCTTTCCTCGGATTTTACCTCCCAACCCCATAGCCGCCTCCCAGGTCGAGTCCCCACCATTCCTGCTTCGTCGGCCCTTGTTTTAGTGGAGTGCCTAAGTGTGGTGACAGTCTCCGAGGTGCGAGCTCGCCCCTTGCTGGGAGCGTGGCTCGGGAACCCAGGGTCGGTTTCTTTCACAGTCTCTGGAAGACAAGATAACCAGTGCTGTCGCAGACAGGGTTTTGTGTAGATGGCGATTATAACGAGGCTGTCAACAGACACGAGTTTTCTGCCTGTTGCTGCCCGTGACGCCAATTTCTCTTTTCTCTTAGCCATTTTTTTTTTCTTTTTACACTTTTGCCAAAACAGACTGTCTTTTTGTTATTTTAAAGGGTGTTCTTGATGCTCGTAGGAGGAATTCTATTTGCTAACTGGGGATAGTTGCACCCTCATGAGCCGTAGTCCCATACATTATGTTCACCACCAGCAGACTGTTGGCCATCCCCAATCGCGCGCTGTGCTTTCTCAGCTCTGTACCCGCCTCCACGTGCTCCCGTCTCATTATCCAGGGCAGAACCCCACCGTTCCCGTGAGATTTAGCCGTCTTCTTTTAAGAGAAATGCCGCTGTCCTCTCTTAGGAGTAGGTCCTTAATTTTTCCTTGTGTAGCTCCTTTCTCCAGTTCAGCTAAGTCAACCTTTTTATACTGTGACTTCATGTCTCTTCTACACAAGTCCTGAACTATTTGAAGCCAAACGGTTATATTCTCATTTTTTTTTTTTCCTGCCTCAGTGCCCACAGGCAGGCTTTACTCCAATAGTGAATGTGTAGATCCATCAAGGCACTCATTTTTACAGACTGTTTTCCAGAGGAGATGCTTTAGGGAAACTCTTGGAGACATGTAAGTGATCCTAGTGCTTGAAGAACTCTTGAGTCTTTTAACTGACCTTTAAAAAAATGTTTCTGAAGATTGTCACACCTGAAAGTGCCACATCCGACTCAGACGATGAGGAACAGGTGGAGCTTGCTGAAGAAATGGAGAATGAAATTTGCAGAGTCTGGGATATGTCCATGGATGAGGTATGAGGATGGGTGTGAAATTCTGAAAAGACTCAAGAGGGAGGGGGTAGTGAAGAGGCTTTTAAAAAGGTTCCTTCCTTCACCGGTCAAGGAAAGGCCTTATTCAGTGACTATGGACAGTCCAGTTTGTGGTTCAGAGTATGAGGTCCCGGGAGCAATAGTGTTACAGTTGTGCTTTGAATATATATACACTTTGATCCTATGGACATCATAGTGTACTTGACATAAATGTTAACTAAGACAGCTATGAGGTTACTAGACAGCATAATTTCATGGGACCACCGACATATCTATGTGTGTGGACATGCACATATGTGTCGTCATTGACTAAAAGTTCATTATGTGCTGTGTGTTTTACGATAGCTGTGGGGACAGCTAACAGCTTAGGTTTTGTACCTTGCGTCACTGGGTGAGAGTCACCTTTTTGAGGTCACATGTCCACTGCAGGTTTACCTGTGTGGTGTGCCTTTGGGTGACGGGGGTGGAGCAAAGTCTCTACAGAGAAAGCAGGCTGTTGTAGTTACATTTCGATCAGAATTTTGTTGTTGCCAGGTGGTGGTAGCTCACTAATCTCAGCACTTGGGGGGCAGAGACAGGTGAATCTCTGAGTTCAAGGCCAGCCTGGTCTACAGAGTGAGTTCCAGGTCAACCAGGGCTACACAGAGAAACCCTGTCTTAAAAACCAAAATAGAATTTTTTTTTCTTCTTTTCTGCCCTTTTTTCTATCAAGGATTTTGGAGACCTAAGTCCTGATATTGGATGTAACCTGGTAGCAGTTATCTCAGTTTTAAATTCTTTTTTTTTTATTTTTATATATATATTTTTAATTAATTTATTTACTATGTATACAGTGCTCTGTTTGCATGTACACATGCAGGCCAGAAGAGGGCACCAGATCTCATTATAGATGGTTGTGAATCACCATGTGGTTGCTGGGAACTGAACTCAGGACCTTTGGAAGAGCAGACAGTGCTCTTAACCTCTGAGCCATTTCTCCAGCCCCCTCAGTTTTAAATTCTTACAGGGTAAGATTTAGGAGTTGACTCTTTCCCCCTGCCCCTCTTCTCCCCTCTTCTCTGACTGACAGTCAGCAAATGTGTTTGAATAAGTTAATGACAATTCCAGGTGGACAGAAAAAAATAATTTAGGCTCACGTACTCAGGGCAGAATAAAAAGAGGGCTGTTCTTTGGTGGGTCACAGCCAGGTTTAGATTTGCTTAGTAGATTGTTCTGTCTTGGGACCGGGATACCACAAAGGCTCTTACATATTCAGCAGTATTCAGCATCTAAATAACCGATAATCAATTTTGTTTGTAGGATGTGGCCTTATTTCTCCAAGAATTTAAGGCTCCTGACATTTTCATGGGTGTGCTGGCCAAATCCAGGTGCCCCCGATTGAGAGTAAGTACATAGAGTCTTTCTTGCTTTGCTTACTGACTGTAAGCCAATAAATCGGGACAAATACACGTTGAACAATCTGAGGTAACGCCTTCGTTGAAATGAGCAGATATGTAGAGTTTGAGATTCGGACTACGCTAGGGAGATCAGTACTTTAACAGCTGTGATCAGGCTTAACCTATTTGCTGCTGCTGTGTGACAGAACAAGAAACAGTACCTAGACCCGCTGTTTGTGTCTCAGCTCACTGTTCTTTTTAGTCACAAAGTCCTCCATTGCCCAGAAATGGTTTTAAGTTGCTCAGAACTTCCAGTCTGATTGTGAGATTTCTCCTGTGTAAAAGCCTCCTTGTGCATGGCCTTCCTGCTCAAGGGCAGCCCGTCTTCCAGCATGGCACCATTGCTGGCCTTTCTGTCCCCTTCAGCCTGTGTCTGTTACTCAGCGTGGCTTTTCTGCCTTCCCTTATAAATAAGGCCTGTGGTTACTGCTGAGGGCAAGCTCCCGAGAGCACCAGATGCAGCTTGGTGCGCAGTGCAGCATTCCGAGCCCCCTTGCTGCTCACACGTCAGTGAAGCGTGCGCTGCACGGCTGCGTGACTAGCTCACGATCACCCACTCTTCACCTCTTGCCTTCCCGCCTGCTATGAGGCACATGTCATAAAGGACCGAGTCTCAGCCTGAAATGACGTGTCCACAGTCACACAGCTTGTTAAAGATGGAGCCGAACTCCGATATAACCCTATTGTTGCTTCTTTGCTTTACAATAAAGTAGAAAGTTCCTTGGGGTGTATTCACAAATTGAAGGGTGAATTAAGATTTTAAAAAATGTATATGTTTACGTATATGGGTGCTTTGTCTGCATGCATGTCTGCACACCAGAAGAAGGCACTGGATCTCTACAGATGGTGTGAGCCACCATGTGGGTGCTGGGAATTGAACTCTGGACCTCTGGAAGTGAAATTAGCGCTCACAACCACTGAGCCATCTCTCTGGCTCCGGGAATGGAGATTTTTAATTAGTGGAATGTTCAACCCATATTAGATCCTTACAGGTACATAAAGTGCTGACAATTTTTCGGCATTGTCCCTTGGATTTTACTATTTTAAATGTATTGAGTCATGATTAGTTCAGGAGTGAGCGCATTATTGTAACTTCGTCCTGGCCACAGCCTCCTGTAGCAGTGGTTCTCAGCCGGGCTGTATGGTGGAGTCACTGCGGAACTGGTCCCAGGTTACTGTGCCGAGCCCACCTCACGATCCCGGTCGGGCCAGGACCCAGGGTGTCCACTGTGTTCTCGGTTGAAGTCAGTGCTTTAGACTATACTCTTTTCAAAAGCCTTGTCCTAGGGGACCTTCAAAAGTCAGGCCACATCTCCATGTGGGACTCTAGGCAGTTTTGACCAGGGATTCTCGTGAGCAGCCCAGGCAGGAGGCTTCGGCAGAAAGCTCCCACATTCCCTTGCTAGTTTATAAGAGAATGTGTGTTGTCTCCCCAAACCCTTGATCTTCTCTCAAAGTGTGAGCCACCTGCATTTTACTGAAACAGTCGTTCGCCATCTGTTACTTCCATCAGCTTCTTCCCTTCCTGTTTCTTCCTGTATGTGAGCTTGTGATCTGTGTCTCCACCTGCAGAGCGCTGGGTTACAGGTGTGCGCGTCCACGACCAGCTCAGCTCTGGGTTTGTTACTCTCTTAGTTACAACTCTGTTGTAACGCCACAAAGCCTTGGCTCCCCGCTTGGTAGCTGCTGCCACATCCAACTTTATTGAGGAATTTTCTCCCTACATGGTATATTTTCTAATCCCATGTTCTGTGTTCTAATTCAGTGATTCTCACTGATCGTAAAAAGGCTGGTGCCCTTGGTGAACACTGGCTCTGGAGACTCTGATTCAGCAGACTTGACAAACTCCCTAAGTGCTGTGTCCCAGCAAGTTTGGAAACCCTGTACTGTGCTAACACTGTGCCCTTTCATCCTCATTTTTCCTGTAGACGTGACTAGTACTCTGACTGGGAAACCGAGGCAATTTCAAACCTAGGAGTTCTCCTACCCCCCAGCAGACTGTTTGGCATCCCTTTAGAGTCCTCAGTCCCATGCTTTGCCATGCCCACCATCCACCAGCACCCCTCATTGGGAGCAGCTGTGTCTGCTTGAGCTGGGTGCCCTGGTACCTAGCATTTGGGCTCTGGATCGCCTCTGTTTCCCAGCGTGGGCAAGTTGCTTGACTTTCCTGAGCTTCAGTTTCCTCACTGAAAAGTGGGGACAAAACAGTCCCCGTCTTGTAGTTACTGTGCGAAATGATCGTGGACAACATGTTTCCGTGTGTCGTGTTCTCTCTTTGAGAACCTTCATGGCTCTGGGCTGCCCCATATTAAGTCTAAACTCTTCAGCACAACAGTCAAATCCTTTTAATCCAGATCCTTTTCCTCTGTTGTATTTCTCCTGTGCTTTCTTTTTCGTTTGTTTGTTTTTGGTTTTTTTTTTGTTTTTTGTTTTTTTGAGATGGTTTCTCTAAGTAACCTTGGCCGTCCTGGACTCACTTTGAAGACCAGGCTGGTCTTGAACTCACAGAGATCCACCTGACTCTGTCTCCCAGAGTGCTGGGATTACAGGCGTGTGCCACCATCCCTTGTTTTCTTGTGCTTTCTCATGTTTCCTCCTGCTTTCTCTATTATCTGTGTTAAGACTCCTTTCCGCCATAACATTTCCTCATCTGAAACTTCTGCCTTTGGACTTCCTTTATGCCTTATTCCTTCTCAACTACATGAGCTGTATAAGCTAAGTATATAAAACTGGATGCTGGCAGTAAACTTTCTTATTCTGCCTCCCCCTTCCTCCCCTCAAACTTGGTTCAGTAAAAGGTTTTGTTCAAGTTGTTACTCTTTGTGGCTTTTACCTCAGCCATTGTGACCTGTGAAATTTGATTTGACAGGAGATCTGTGTGGGAATTTTAGGGAATATGGCTTGTTTCCAGGAGATATGCGTGTCCATCAGCAACTGTGAGGATCGTGGGTAAGTCCTACTATGTAACAGCTGTGTTTCTCAGGGGGGGTTCTAGGTTAGATGCCAAGGGAGTCCTGGCGGAAGTGTGGCATGTGGTGTTCGTTGTCTCAGGAGCACCTTGTGCGGGTGTGGCTGGGCTGTGGACATGACTCAGGATGGGGCTTGTGCATCATGGGGAAAGGCATGAGTCTTCACATTGAGTAAGTGAGAATATGTAGAGCCTAACTCAGAGCTGGGGGCAGCTGGCCAGAATCCAGAATAATACCGGCATAGAGAACCCATGGGCTCAGAACAGTTGGCGAAACTCGGTTGCTGAAGTGTTGCTCTGAGACTTAGACTTAGATCAGGGAGTGGCACTTGCCCACAGACCAGATGATACAGGGTTGCCACTGGGATTAAAAGGCTCAAGCCTGGAGGCCAGTTCTCCTCTGCAGGCCTGGAAGCGTGGGGCAGAGGGCTTTTTAGTATTGGAGTCTTGGGTATTAAGTAGATCTGAGAACACTGTGCAGTTTCATGATAAACTTGATGGGCATTTTCTTGGTGATGTTCGTAGCTATAGCTTAGGATCTTAAAGAAGCAGAAGTTAAAATGATCGTTCTAGGCAGGTGTTTCTTGTTTGTTTGTTTGTTTTTGTGGTGGGGGCGACAGGGTTTCTCTGTGTAGCTTGGGCTGCCTGGACTCACTTTGTAGACCAGGCTGGCCTCCAACTCACAGAGCTCCACCTGCCTCTGCCCCCTGAGTGTAGGGTTACAGGCGTGGGCCATCAGGGTCGTTATTATCAGAGGACCATAAGGGTTTTCCCCTGTACTCAAGAACCTGGGCCTCCTGAGTTGTTTTTGTTACTTTCAGAGTGGGTCACTGAGGGGGGGGGGGCAGAGAGGGCTGCAGAGAGCAGCTCTGTTCCTTAGAAACATGAGCTTCAGCTCTAAAACAGTGGTTCTCACCCTGTGGGTCAAGTTTCAGAATTTCTGCCTATCAGATACTTACGTTACAGTTCCTAACAGCAGCAGAGTTACAGTTAGGAAGTCGCAACTCAGTAATTTTACAGTTGGGTCAATGTGAGGAGCTGCATTGAAGGCCCGCAGCATCAGGGGGGCGGGTGGCCACTGATCTAAGGGGGATCGTTTGCATCTCAGTGGGGTTTTCTGCATTTGTACTTTGTCAAACGGTGTTTGCTCACTTCGGCTCCACAGGCAGGTGCTGCTGCAGTGTTTGTGTGACTCGGACCCGCCCACTCTGCTGGAAACCAGCAGGTAAGGGCGTCCCTTCACGGGTGGACGGCCACTGGTGGGAACCTGGGAGGAAGGGGAATTGTTGCCCGGTAGCGGCCTGTCCTGTGTCCACGTCGACTCTGAGTGCACGTCTGTCATGCAGGTTGTTGCTCACCTGCCTTTCCCAGGCAGAAGTGGCCAGCATCTGGGTTCGAAGGGTCCGGGAACACCCATCTGTGTACGCTAGCATTTGCTTCATCATGTCAAGTTCAACAAATGGTAAATCTCCATGTACTCCATGCACACGAGAATACACATTAGGAAACTACATTGGTAGACTCTTTGTTTTTAAATTTCATGTGCCATGTTATGCTTTCATCTTTTACATGTTTGGGTGTTTGCCTGCATGGGTATCTAGTTCTCTAACATGCTGGTGTGTGCCCAGTGCCCACAGAGGCCAGAAGAGGGTGTCAGATCCCTTGGGACTGGAGTTGCAGACAGTTGCGAGCTGCTTGCTGTGTGGGTGTTGGGAGTCAAACCTGGGTGTTCGGGAGGAGCAGCTGGTGCTCTTCATGGCCAAGCCACCTCTCCAGCCCTGGGAGGAGGCTGAAGGAAGGCAAACAGACACAGGCCCCTGGGGACCCTGGGGGAGGTGAACGGTGGCAGATGTGGCTTTTGGAGTGGCTTGAGGCTTGCTTTCCGTCTCTCACCGGGACCCTGTCTTGGCTGCAGTTGAGCTGCTGGTGAAGGTCGGGGAGGTCGTGGACAAGCTCTTCGACTTGGATGAGAAACTCATGCTGGAGTGGATTAGGAACGGGGCCTCCCAGCTTCCGGACCGACCCCAGGAGGACACTGAGGAGCAGCCAGTGTTTTCAATTGTACCCTGTGTGCTGGAAGCTGCCAAGCAAGTACGGTAGGTGAACAGAATGCTCTAGAAAAGTCCAGCTGTTCAAAACCTCCTTAGATGGAAGAGTCTTAGTTTCAGGAGACTTGGTGAAGGTGGGTGTGACATCATAATACACTCTGTCTCCCCAGCCCCTGGCATTATGTGCCCCAAACTGACAGATGAAACACATCCGAACCATTTAGTTGTTCACTCTTTTCACTTACTCGTCTGGTTGAAGAGTCATCATTTTGAGTTCTGAGAATACAAACTGTTGAGCAAAAGAATTATATTTTTATGGTTCTAGTGTTCTCAGTGAGAGAACTAGATGGTCTGTGAAGGCTGGAGAGCATCAGTGTGTTGCTGCCTCGGACTACAGGCTGCACACCCCTCCCATAAAATCTCAGTATCACACATATGTACACTCACACACACTAGCATACACTCACACCCATTTACACAATTCCCAAATACACTCACACAGTAATTCACACACATGCACTCATTCATACACACTCACATACATATACACTCACACACATACACGCTCACACACATACACACTCACACACATACACACTCACACACATACAC